TTCCAGTTTCCTTCATAACAAAACACATATTTTTCATTTTTAACTAAGATTTGGGAAAGCAGCTATAAGTTATTTTCCAGTTTCCTTCATAACAAAACACATATTTTTCATTTTTAACTAAGATTTGGGAAAGCAGCTATAAGTTATTTTCCAGTTTCCTTCATAACAAAACACATATTTTTCATTTTTAATATTATATCTAAACTTAATTTTCTATGAAATATTATTCATGTGAAAAAATAAGAATATTAAATAACATTAAAATTTGATATTATACTTTTAATAAATAATTAATCTATTATTACAAATTATTATATCTTTATTTTTAAAAAAATTTTACAAAATGATAAATTTAAAAAATTTTACAAAATGATAAAAAACAATAATATTATTATAAATAATCAATAACAAAAATTTAAAAATTTTCATATAAAAAATTCTAAATTTATTTTATAATATATTTTTTTTTAATTATGAAAATTATGAATAATATTTATGAAGTTAAATTAAAATAATGTTATCATTTTCTAAGAAAACTATTTTCTGTAAATAAAGGCACCCCCATTTTTTTCCTTTACCAGAAAATATTTTACATTGGTTGATTTTTATAAAATATAAAAAAATAAAAAAGTATTTCTTTGGGGATATTATTGAAAACAAATATGGCCTTAGAATACTTCCTTTTTTTCATTTTGTTTTTCGTCGCGAGGGAATTTCCTTCTTATATGGATTAGCTTAAACTAATCCAAATTGATATTAATAGTGTATTCTCCCAAGTCCAATCCTATTCTATTAATAAAAAGAGGAGCTCATATTATAGACTAATTTCATTAGGTCTTCTCTTTAAAATGACTATTTTTACACGCTAAAATATAATCTAATGGTAAATATATGTATGACCTGATAATAAATTTAAATTTGAATTACTTCTCTTATACTCAAAAAAATATATATATATATATTGTCTTCAATTTTGCTTTCCTGAAACGACAAATAGCCAGAGCACGACAGACGACAACTTGAGCTTGGAGATTTTCAGCAAGTTAAGGACTTTATGTATATGGACTATTTATTTTTGAGAGACATAGCAAAATTTTATTAAACAAAAGCTAAATATGGTATGCAATAGTCTACTTGAAAAGGTTTTTTTTTTTTTTTTTTTTAAAAAAAATTAAGAACATTTGTACAAGATATCATAACAAAGAATTAAGAAATAGAGGTAAAATAAAATTAGGACAAATAAACATAGAATACGAGGGAAGCCTGAATACATCAGATTCGAACACGTACTGTATAATGTAACCGAGTCTAAGATATCGACCACCTTTTAAAACACGTAAAAGGTTTTTTTTTTTTTTTTTTTTAAGAACATTGTACAAATATCATAACAAAATTGAAATAGAGAATTAGAGGTAAAATTAAATAGGACAAATAACATAGAATAGAGGAAGCATGAATACATCAATTCGAACGTACTTATAATGTAACCGAGTTAGATATCGACACCTTTTAAACACGTTCGAACATGTGTCGAATACTTTAAGAAATATATTTCAATATTTTTTATTTCAGACACTTCTAAGACATTTCTAAAACATTTTGAGGATAGTTCTTTGATATTTTATGGATACTATAAAAAATTTTATAGAGTTATTAGATAAATTTATTAACTAATTTTTTACATTGGGGTCTTAATATAAATTAGATACTTATATATGTTTAAAATTAGAATTAAAATATAAATATTGAAATACCATAAGAGGAAAACGCTCTTGCATAAATTTTCTCCATTTATAAATATCGAACGCTCCACATTTTACTTAAAGAGCTTGAAGTATTTCTACTTTCCACTCAAACCTCTTAGCTATTTAATTTGATTCTAAAAAATATTTTTTAAATCCATAAATTTTATAAAATCTAGTCTTACATCTGATCAATTTTACCGTTAAAATCATGTTCTACAATGGTAATTTTAAACATTTGTGATTTGTGTTATGAGTGAGATGAGCAATTAAAAAAGATTCCAATTGCTTTTTCATTCATAATAAGGACAAATGAAAAAATGATTTACACTGCATAACAAAATAATTTTTATTTCTTTATTATTATCGTAAAAAATTTCAGATTTCAAGAAAAAATTTGCTTTCGTTTGTCTAATTCTTGGTGTAAATATTCAATAATGGACAATTTTGAATGACTTTATAAATTCCATTTTATTCCATATATCAAATTGTAGCTTTTGTTTTTATTTTTATTTTTTGGTAAAATTCCATTTTTCACCGTTAGATTAAACTAGTTAGAGATAAATCATAAGATTTAAAATTAAGTAAATGACTGACTTGTTATCTATAGAATGAATTATTAAAAATAGAGAATTTAGTTTTTTATTATTAAAATATAAATAACTATTTAATTGTGTAAATTAAAAAAAAAATACTATTTTCAACACAACTATAATTCTATAGAACATAAAAATTCAGTGCTAAATAATTGTCTAATACTTCGGATTCATTTACTCAAATAAATTATTTAAAGTTTTAATAAATAATTATAAATTTTATTTTCTTATTATTAAAATATTTATCATGTATCATGTAATTTAAATTATGTTTCCTTATTTTTTTGGATAATATTTTTTAGTTAAAAAATTAAATTATATAACTCCAATGCTTGACTTGTAAATCTCTACTCTTTTATAATATCAAATTATAGAAATTGTACCTTATTACTTTTAATTTGTAGTTTAACTAATCAATTTTATCTTAAATTCATTTACATTTTTTAAAAATAATCCATATTCTATATTTATTATATATATATATAATAATAATTACTTTAAACGTTATTAATCTTTAGGTTTCAACTTGATTAATCTTATTTTCGTTCTAAATTCTATTTTACATTTTTTTAAAAATAAAATTTTATATACTCAACTCATATATAGCTTTTGAATAAAATTTGTTTAGTTTAGAATTTATACGATGTAAATGTGTCCATATATCATGAATTTATAACCTTCAATTTGTAAATTGGAATATAGAATTTATAATTAATATATTTTTACAAGTTTCTTAATTAAAATTAAATTCATGCATGTAATAATTTACTTATTTTTGTATTTGTAAAACTGCTCTTATATAATATTTTATATACATAATCCCGATGATAAACAATAATTTTAATTTTGAAAAAAAAAATTATAACACTAGAAGGAAAATTTTTATGTACATGAAATTCGAATTCTAATTTTTTTAAGATATTTTATATTCAGCATTAGATATATTTTTTATAATATAATATGTAATAGGATAGAAGATAGATGTTGAGAAAGAGAGGATAAAGTTAGGAAATTCATATATAAAGAATGGAGCAATAATTTGAATAACTTATTGCAATAGGTATCTATAGACACGTGTCAATAAAATGAGGATTTTGTATTAATATAGAATAGTTATAGTCTGCACAATAGTAAAAGCCGTGTTTTTTTTTTCTTTACTTTTTTTTTTTTAACAATTAATGTCTTTAAAACTATCGAATATTATTAATAATTTTAGTAGCGGTTAACTAGTATAGTAATTTTGTCAATTAGACGAGTTTCATTGGTCTTTTTACATCTAATAAAAAATATAAGGAGCGACCACAAAAGTATTATAAATTTGATGAATATTATTATTGAAAGAAGAGGGCTATTATTGCTGCGCAATAGACAATGTTATTTCGGTCTAACGAGTCTCCCATGTATAAAAAAAAATGGTCTAGTAACTCTTACTTTTTTATTAGTTTTTAGTTATTTAAAAATAACTTAAATATAAAATAATTTAAAAATTTTTAATTAATTATTATCAATATTAAATTTTGAGAATAGAAGTATATGAAATACTCGTTTAATCTCCTAATAGTTACTACTCTTTCCATCCATACATATAAATGGTTTTGAGAGTATTAAAGAGTAAATAATGATTCTTTTTTTTCAGTTTTACCCTTATATGTATTAAACATATAATTATTCATGATATGAGATAAGAGGCAATTTAATAAAATTAATGAACTTTTTATTATAATTTAGAGAAATTAATTATTTTTTTAATCACAAATAAACCGAGGCGTATAAATATGACATTAAAACTGTGAAAAAACAATGTGTTAGTGGTTACAAACTTACAATAACAATTCTTTTTAACCTCTCCGGTAGAGGGAGAGACAACACAAGAGTAAGAGAACAGCCACATCCTTTGCAAAAGGCCCAAAACCGTCTGCTCTTTGGGTTCTTTGTTTTTCTTCATTATAGTTGACTGATTCTGATTTAATTTTCGTTGTTATTTACAATTGGATATGCAAAACATTTAACTCTTCTTTGACACATAATTAATAACTAATATTACATTTGTTCCATAATACTTATTACATTTGAAATTTCATGTTCCTCGAGAAAACTATTAAATTTGTCTGAATTTCAATAAATTATTGAATAAATTAACTATATTATTCTTAATTTAATATAAATTATCTGAAAAAAATCATTAAATTGAAGTAATAATTATTGTTTACGTACAAAGGGTAAATATAAAAAATATATATTACTCCTTAAAATCACAAATGTGATAAGTATTTTAGAATGAACTATTTTTTCAAATATAATAAATATTATGGAACGGAGGCATTAATACAAATTTTAAAAATTAAAAAATATAATGGACGGGTACTATTAATTGTCATTAATTATTTAAAAAATAAAAAGCAGAATAACTAAAAAATTTTGGGTAAAATCTCAAGATCGTAAACAACACCAAATTATTCAACACATAAATGCAAATACAGACGAGAGAGAGAGAGAGAGCCAAAAAAGCCAGTTAAGGGATTCATTCAATACCCAAAAGGCCCAAACCCATCCGCCAGGAAATTGCACAGCCGTGGTTTCCTTTTGCCGTCTGAGGAAACCCTCTACCGCGTTTAGCAATACGACATAACTTCCATATTTCCGTATCATTATTTCACCTCACATCCACATCCTCATCCGTATCCTGTATTGTAGCAACGAACCAACCCCATTGCAGGAAACCACCCAATACCCCTTATAATACATTTATATACATACATCATAGCTGTATCATCATCATCATAAATGACTCCCATTATAATCATCATATACACAACTGCCTACTCCTTACTTTCTCTTTCTCCCTCAGCCTCTGTAAATAAATACCCCCGCACCGCACTCTTTTGTAACTCCTCCCCTGTTTCTCAGTTTCTCACTGATTTTTAAAAGTAAAAACCGTTCTCCCTCTTTTGTCTCTGGCTCTCTGTAATCTCACACAAGTTCGGAATGGGCAAGGTGAGAACAAGATAAAATCGAAGAAAAAAGGGTTTTGCTTTCCCTTTTTTTCTTATTTCCTGCTTGGAATTTAATGAATGCGTTTTCGAATTCTGAAGGGTATTTTTTTTTGTTGTTGCAGAAGAAGAACAACCATAACCATGACCACGGCAATGACAACTGCAATGAAGGAGGAGAGAAGCATGTTGAAGTACAGAAAAAGGAAGGAGGAGGTGGCGGTGGAGACAAGAAGGACGGGAAGAATCCGATGCCTGTGGTTCTTAAGATCGAAATGCATTGTGAAGGCTGTGCATCTAAGGTCATTAAATCGGCTCGCAAGTTAGAAGGTAAAACCTTCACTTGTTTTTTCTTTTATTTAGTCCAACAGAAGTAGTTCATTTTCTGGGTTTTCTTTGATTGGTTAAATGGGTATTGGGTTTTGTTTCTTCTTTGGTATTAGGTGTGGAGACCGTCAAAGCAGATACAGAATCAAACAAATTAACTGTTACAGGAAAAGTGAATCCTTCTCAGATTCGAGATATTCTCCACAAAAAAACCAAGAAGAAGGTTGAGCTTATCTCTCCTCAGCCCAAGAAAGAAGACGCTAACAACAGTAACAACAACAGCAAGAAAGAAGACAACAAGAAAGAAGATAACAAGAAATCCAATGACAAGAAACCAGACGCCGATAACAAGAAACCGAAAGAGGTAGGAGTATAGAACAAAAACCATTAATGGCCTTTCATTTTTCTTTATGGTTTTTTCTCAGTATGGCGAATTTTAGCAGTTGATCCTTTAAAATGCGCGTGTCTTTGCATGTTATACTAGTTAATTGCCTTTCAGTTCCAATTTCAAATCAGGAGTCTCGTCATAGGTATTTATTGCAAATTTATTTTCAGTTGGTAACAGTAGAGTCAAGTGGGAGAGAGAGAGAGAGAGAGAGAGAGAGGCGTATTTTAACAAAAATATTTTTTATTTGTTATTTATTTATTTTTTTATGTTGATAGCCACCGGTGACGACGGCGGTAATCAAGGTGGCATTCCACTGCTTGGGTTGCATCGAGAAGATTCAAAGGATTGTCTGTAAGACCAAAGGTTAGTTTATCATCTCTCGCAATTTCCGTTAACGGCGTTTGTTCTGTGCTGGAGTTTAAACATTAACGGCGTTATTGCACTACAGGTGTGCAGGAGATGACACTTGACAGGCAGAAGGAAACGGTGACAGTCAAAGGGACCATGGACGTTAAGGGGTTGACAGAGGCTTTGAAGGAGAGACTGAAGAGACCAGTTGAGATCGTTCCACCAAAGAAGGAGAAGGAAAAGGAAGCCAATGGAGGGGATAAAGGTGGCGAGAATGCCGGCGACGGAAGCGGGAAGAAGAAGAAAGGCGGCGGCGGCGGCGGTGATGGGAATGGTGGCGGGGGCGGCGGCGGTGATGCTGCAGCCAAAATGGAAGGGAATAGAATGGAGTATGTACCTGGATATGGATTTGGACCGGGTTATGGGTATGGTTACATGAGTCAACCTATGCCTGTCTATGGGAACGGGTACATGGGTCAACCTGTACCTGTTCCTGTGCCTGTATATGGAAACGGGTATATGGGACCGGCTCCTCAGCCTGTGTATGAGTACGGGTACGGGTATGGGCATGGACAAGTCCCGGGTTATCCAGTGCACATGAAGTTTAATGATGAGAACCCAAATGCCTGCTCTATAATGTGAGGTGAATTGAAGTGTTTTGAGGAGTTATTTACTTAATTAATAGAAGTGGGGAAAAAAAAAGCCTATTAAGTGTAAATAATGAAATAGAGTAGGGAGAAGGAAAGGAAGGAAGTTGGTTGGTTGGTTGGTTGGTGGATTACTGTTATGTTTTGCTTTCTTAATTTTTTATTAATATAATAGTATTTTCTCGTAAGTTTTGGATTTACGAAGTTGCGTATATATTTTATTAATATATATTCTATGTAAAAATTTTTAAATAAATATTAAGTACTAGTTTGGACTTGAGCATAAAGAAAATTGGAAATGTGTTTTCTTACAAAAAGATAGAAGTGCAATTAAGAAGGTTGGGGGGTTGATGAATGATTATATATTTTTGGGGAGACAGTGAAACAGTGGCAGAAGTTTCTGGTGTTCTCTGATTTTGTTAAGGAGTTTGTACCGTGTCCTGATAGTGAATAGAGGTTTTTGCTTTTACACTATGGGGGTTTAGCGTTTAGCCTTTGTGACATTTAACCACCACCCATTGAATGGTTTGGACACTTATTAATTATTTCAAACACTATAACGGTAATAGAATTTGATAGACTCTATGATTTTGAATGAACAAAAGTATTCATAATCTGGAAGATTCTTAATTGACATTAAAAACATAAAAAAAAAAAAAAAAAAAAAAAAGCAATCCATGCGCTTTTGGAAAGTCGCACTTCCCTTGTTAGTCTACTTACTCTTAAGCAAACAGGATTTACATAAATAAATTACAAAAATCCATGATTAAGATATTGTATAATAAATAAATTAAAGATTTGAGTGATTAACAGTTTGTATTTGTATGTGCATGTTCATGACTGCTAGTCCCAGATAAAAAAAAAATCTACTGTCGTTTAAGAAGAGTTTGATGCACTCCAATCATAAAAAGATGTTTCGAAAGAAAGAATTATTAATATGAATAGTTGATTGCTTGTATATGAAAATATGATATATAACAAATTCCTTTCTACATGAACCTTATCAATCCCTATCACAAAATTGGTATTAGTATTCAACATAACAACTTGAATCTGCAGAGCAGAGAGCAGAGAGAAGAACAGAAACAACAGAACCATCACCATCTCTTTGGCTTAAAAATTCAAACCAAATACAAATTCTTTTAACACTATTCTGCTAGACATGTCCTATCTTCCTTACATTACACTACCCACCACAAATATAGAATTACAATCCTTACTGTGTTTGTGCTATTGAGGTGACAAATGGGTCCCTCTTAATTTCAAGCACTTTTTTCTTTTCTTTTTTTTTTTTTTTTTTTTTCTTTTTTTTTTTTTTTTTTTTGAAAATTTATTTTTATTTGAGACAAAAACTATTTGGCGTTTTGTCAGTTACCACACTTAATTTTAGTTATATGAAACCATGCGAACACGCCTGCCCTTAATGCTTAGGTTGTCCTTTAATTAGTTGTCCCTTAACTCCTTATGAGCTTTCAGAGGATGTTTTTTTTTTTTTTTTTTTTGAAATTTATTTTATTTGAAAAAACTAATTTGGTTTTGTCAGTTACCAATTATTTAGTATATGAACCTGCGAACACGCCTGCCCTTATCTTAGGTGTCCTTATTAGTTGTCCTTAACTCCTTATGAGCTTTCAGAGGATGATTCTTGCACTGCACTACCCTTTTAGGGCCAATAGATAGTTTTTAATATTATATTTTAATAAATAAGACTCTAGTGAGGGTGTATGTTGTATTTTAGTATATCTCTACGAGTTTCCTGCTGTCCTGTTTTTTGGAGGGTTAGTTGTCCTATTGTTTCGGGGGCGGAAGGGAAGCTATGAGGAAGATGAAATGAGCAAATGTTAAGACTACTCCTAGCATTTTCCTCCAACTTTCCTGCCCAAAGGTGGTGGAGCCATAAGCATTGGACCTTTCATGCCAAAAAATAACTCCTCTTTCACTTGAACTTTTAATAGTTGGTTGAATTGCCCTAATCTTTAAGATCATGATGACTTTCCTACAACTACAAATAGGTGTCAAGATATCCCCTCTACACCCTTGACCATTTAGTGTATTTTGGCTCTCTTGCGCACTTTAGCATATAGCTAGAAAACACAACGTAGGGGCAGGGCTGGGCAGGGAAGTGGAAATTTTCTTTTACCCTATCCTTCCTTCTCCCTTTTGTTTAATTAAAGGAAAATAATGCATTTGTCTCTCATTTGGAGTTTGGTTTCCATTATATTTTGAAATATTTCATTTGATTAATCGATGAATATAATTAAACATTTATTTGATATTAATCCTTGTTTGGAACAAATGAATTTCACTTAGCGTAAATTAGCAATTATTAAAAATGTGATGAGATTTTTCGTAAAAAATATACCAAGTATATAGATAAATTTATTTAATTTTACTGATTATCATCTAAACTGTAATTAGATGTTAATTAATAAAATAAAATAGCAGAAAAAATCAAGTAAAAACCTACTCATTAGTCAAAGTTCTATGGGGAAAAAATCATGATTATTTGAATAATTTACTTTAAAAAAAAGCACATATTGGCTTGATCATGCATATAAAAGTAGCACAAAGAGGTTAGCAATTACAAGTCCTTTTTGTGTACACGTGCATGTGGCCCTATTAGTACTAGCACGTGCAAGAATCATGATGTGGGAAGTATATATGCACATAATCTACATAGTATGTGATGTAGATCATGATATGCCACATGCCAAAGCCAACATAACATCTTACATATTTATTTTTTCTCCTTTTTGTGTGCGAAAGATACAAGAAACTTCCATAAAGGATGGGAAAAGGTTGGGAACAAAATGAAAAACAAAAGCACTTTTATAAAAATCATATTGGTTATAGTAATTTCATGACCAATAATCATTTCACTAGTTCCAAATTTTCTTTTAACTTTATAAACACACATACATGAACATGTAGTTGGTGTCTGGTCAAATTGATCAAATTAGAAATTGAATGAATGACAAGTTAAGTCAATTTCAATATTTTAATTTCTTTGTCTATATTATATAACATATTTTTAAAATTAAATTAATTTTAATAGTGTAATTCAGTGAATAAGGAACAACATGTGTCGGTGAGTAGAGAGGAAAAAAAAAAAAGAAAAGAAATGAAAGAATATTCTTAATTATCTACCAAATTAATTAAAGAAATTGTGTGAATAAAAATGATTGAATGAGCATATACTCTAGTCTCTATCAATATAAATTTGGAATTGATTTACTTCATGAAGAAGTTGGTGTCTTTTTGTATGTATATTTGTGTGAATTTTCAAGAAAATTAAAAAAGAAAAAAGAAAAATAATTTGAGATTAGATTCCAAATACATGTGATCAAAGTTGTCTTTTGAATCCTTTTTCTTTAAATGTGATGATTGCATGAGCTCAATCCCATGTGAGCATGGTTAAAACTAAAAGGGTATTGTAAAAAAGTGGATTCTAAAGAAGAAAAAGAGGAGATTAGTTTTGATTGAGAAGTCCTTTTCATGGATTTTTAAGTTACCTAACAAATTAGGATTCCTCATTGATTTGCTTGTTTAGTATTGGAAAAACAAAACTTATAAATAGCACAAAAGATTGAAAAAAAAAAAACTATCTTTTTTCTTTTTTACAAATATTTTCAAGTTCGGACTTGATTCAAACTTCTGACCTTACATATAAAATTCAGTTAATAATATAATCTATTTTCACTAATTCAATTATTAATTAGTTTAAAAAATATTTTTTTTTCTGTTGATATAATAATCTAATTAAATATATGATTTTTGAAAGAAAAATAAATTTAAGAACAAATTCAAATGGGTTAGAATTCATATCCATTGATATATATTGTTTGAAACAATTTGCTTCAATCATGATTGTTTTGAAGGGTAAGGCACAAAATTCTTGGTGGTGTCAAAGAGTTGAACAAGGAAAGAAATGATTCCTGTTTGGCGATGAAATGAAAGAATCTAGGTCATAATGTTCCATGGTGGCTCAAATTCTTTTGTTGTGCATGCAAAAATTTTCAGTTCTTTCAATCATACCTTACTTTGACTGACCCAAAACCATTTCCTTAAAAGTGGAGAAGGAAGAGAGAGATATAATTATATTTTGTGATTTGAGTGAATTTTATTCTCTCAACAGATTGTTTTGTGTTAAGCCCATATATATAATTAATTAATTAATTAATTAATGACTTTCATATTAGAACAACATTTCTCATTAGAAAACCTCATGTTTAGGCCAATTAAATAATACTTCATCCGCTAACATTTTGTTTAGTTGTTATTCATTTTTTAAATGTTTTAAAATATTGTGAAGAAATCTTGTGATAATCTTTATGATTCAATTAAGTGAAGGATTTTTATTAATATCTTAATAAGTTAAGGGTAAAAAAAGACAAAATAACTTTTATTGATTAAATTCTTAATATGCGCCATGCAAACAAAATGGGACGAGAGGAGTACAATAGCAGTTTATGCTTATAAAAAGTTTAGTTATTTTTTTATTTGTTGAAAGACGAACCATTAATATATATGTTACGGTTAAGAAATTAAAAAAATAGTAAAAGTAAATATTTTTATTGTAATTTGGCCTTAAGAATAGAAGATTCAACAATAAAATAGAACAGGAAGCACTACATGAAATGCGTATAAGGTGCATGTACTTCTTATTTAGTCGGCAATTGCCTAGATATTAAATGTTTATAAAATCTACTTTATCTTGTCAAATATGTGCTACGTATTTACTCGATACGGTATTTTCTCTATGTTCAATTTTTGGTTCATGTTAAAATATGCCTACGTCTTATAAATATAAGAAAAATTTATAACATATAATGAGGAAGGTAGACTTTTTATAACCTAATTATCAAATAAATTATTAATTTGATTTGATTAATAAATTTTCTTAATGTCTAGATTTAACATGGCATAGAGTCTGAAACTCAAAACATATATTAGTAATTTCTGCTAGGCCTAAAGTGATAAAGAAAAAACCAACATTTTGAATGGCAATGGCTTCAACTGTCATCAGCTATTGGAACCATCATTTCTCCCTTTTATTCTCTTTAATTTTTTTCAGCAAATTTTGATAGTTCTGATTTCCCTTTCCCCACTTTTATTCTCTATCTATTGAATAATTCATATATCATTTAACAAAAAGGTTGTCAGGAATTTTCCATAGTCACTAACTTATTTCATCATCTTAGGAATTATATATTGCACTATATTATATTGGTTGGTTGATTTTTTTTTTTTTATTCATTGGAGGTTGGATGGCGGTAG